GGCTCAGGACCATTCCACATCCCATTTCCACCCTGCTTCGCGCACTCCTTGGGGGAAGGCGCCAGGAGGGAGGAGCCTGGGGAGCTGTGTGCTGGGTCCCCAGAGACTGCCAGCCCCGCCTGCAGCCAGACTGCCCTCCCTGTTGAGCCCCTGCCTCAGGCAGAGGGCACTGCCCACCGTTCACCAGGGAGCCCGGCAGGAAAAAGGGCCTGTGTGCTCCCCTCCAAAACCAAAGTAGCCCAGTTCCACAAAATTCCACATGGTGGTATTACTGGAATAAGCAGCAAATTAAAATTCGGGGCAGTACATTACACACCTCAGACTTACTCATCAAAGGAAAATAAATGTCTGACAATAGAACTTTCCCGACACCCCCACCTGCCGTGGCCTACCTCATGAGATGGCCAAACTAACCTGACTTTCATTTCTATTAGCCTACTGTCTGACAAAGTAAAACTCCACTGACATTCTCACGAGGGTCCCCACGTGTTCCGCAGGTGCCTGTCCGCAGTGGGGGCCATGGACAGCCCCCCAGGGCAAAGCAGAACCAAGGCTTCGGGAGCCTGGAGAGGTCACACGAGGTTCCTTGGACAGGCTTCTCACTATGGGGCTCCAACTGGAAACAAATTACAGTTAAGAAACCCTGAGAAGCACACCTGTGTGCTCTTGTGAAAGACACGATGCTGCCCTGCCCTCCAGGAACCTGGAGTCAGCCAGGAAGGGCCCCCACCATCTCACTACCATGTGCACTACCGCATGCTGGCCTGAGCCCGGTCACTCCTCACACAGCCCTGAGATAACAGCCTAGGCAGTGAGACGCCCTGGCCTGGGAACCACCCCTGTTCCCCTTCTCAGGGGACCCCCCTCCCAGGGCTGGGCCACAAGGACTGGACGTTACGAAGCATCTGCTAACTGGGAGACCCTAACAAATGTCACCTTGGCAGCAGGTCAGGGCTAACTTCCTCTAACAACCACCCAAATTAAATTGAATCACGCCTCCACAGAGCTCTTGTTTCACAGCCCCCCAAAAAAGTGCCAAAATGAAAACTGTCTCCGATTTACTTACAAGGTCAACTAGAGAAGCCATGTGTTTCCTTCCCCAGCTGGGTTTTGTTCGTGCAATGGCGGTGGGCTGCCACGGGCACCTCATCGGATCCTACAGCAGCCCGCGAGCAGCACCCTCCCGCACGCCATCTTACAAAAGGGAGGACTGAGGTCCAGGTCAAAGAAGCGCCCAAGCACAGAGGAGCGAACAGCGGAGCCACAGAGCACAGACGTGCAGACCATGCTGCTGAGCGGAGAACAGGAGGGACGCAGGTCAGGGACAGGGATGGTGCAGGGGAAAGACCCACTGCCCAGGGCCGAGAGGGCAGGCGAGCAAGTGGGAGGAGCCGAGCGTAGCAGCTGCTGGTCCTCACCATGCCTCACGGTTCGAGCACGAGAGCTAGACCCACACTGCATGGGGGTGAAGTTCGGACTCTGCCTGCGTCCGGTCGTGACGCCCACCCCCCGGCAGGCACCACTGCTGCCCCCCACAAGAGTAACCGCAGCCATGGCTCCGGTCCCTCCCCACACCAGACCCAGCAAGGCCCAGCACGGCCCGGAGCCTGACCGCCAGGCATCCCACCTGAAGTTCTGAGCACACGGGTCCCTGAGCCAACTCACAGCCATTAACATCTCACGGGGAGCAGCCCTCCCCCCACCGCCGCCTGCTCTGATTCTGCTCTGTCGCCCTTCAGGCTGGATCACCCGAGCCAGATCGCTAACCCTCTCTGTGCTGACTCTGCAAACCAGACTCGCGATACCTTGCACAGAGTTGCCACAGTGATTAAATGAATGAACACAGGTAGAGTGCCCAGCGCCTAGTGAATGCTCTTCCCGAAGATCTGACCTTGGTCGGAAACTCAGTCACAAGATTTCTGGGTAACGGAGGAGACTGAACACACAGAATAGCTCGTGGAATCCCACTAGCAGCTACAGAAAGCACTTTCCCTTTTTAAGGCATAAGTGACAGGGTGAATGAAGACAGGGAAGGCCCAGCGGGGATGACACTCAGAAGGCTGGAGGCCACACCTGAGCACAAGTGAAGCAACCCAGAACCTCCATCTCCACACAGGATCCCTGAAAGGCCCCAGACAACTCTGGGCGGGAGGCGGCTAAAACAAGGAACACCGTGAAGGTCACCGAAGAAGCAGACTCCTGAAGCCCCCGCTCCCAACAAAGGCAGCAGTTAATTCTCTGGATGTGGTGAGAGGTGAAGTAGGAGCCACACTGAAAACACAGAACCTGTGTAAGAGGGCGGGAGATGCCCACCACCTGCCCAAACCATCATTAAAACCCTCAGAGAAATAAGCCACTGTGACTACTGTCCAAGAATAAGATTCTACGGAGGGAGCACTAGAGAACAAAAGAGAGCTCCCAGAAAATGAAAAGCAGAGCAGCAGAGAAGAATCATCTACTGGATGGTTGGCAGAAAACACTTTGGAAACTGAGAAAAAGAGGATCAGGAGGAGGGTCAGGAGTCACCGCCTGCATAAAATTCTAGAATAAGACACACTCGGCTCTGACGGAAGAAATCCCACCAGCAGTGCCCCTGAACACATCAGCAGGCATGTCATTAACTATTTGCATATACTTCTTTTTAAAGGTAAAAACTGCACAGTTCTTAAGAGCTTTGAGAAGCACTGTCCCCATCAAGATGTGGAACACTGGAATCACCCCACCCCAGACTGAGGCACCAGGAGACCTCTGTGATAATGCAAATATAGTAAAACATTCATCACAGACTCCAAGTGTTGGGTTCTTATAACTTACCTCTATGTTTGAGATCGTTCACATTAGGGGCGGCTGCGTGACTTAGTCGGTTAAACGTCTGACTCTTGGTTTTGACTCAGGTCATAATCTCAGGGTACTGAAATGGACCCCACATCAGGCTCTGTGCTCAGTGAAGGGTCTGCTTAAGATTCTCTCTCTCCTTCTCCCTCTGCCCCCGCTCCTGCTCACGTGCTCTCTCTCTAAATATTGTTCATATTAAAATGCTGGAGGGAAAGAATCAGGAAGTCCGAATGGGCAGGCACAGTAGTGAAAGCTACATGCAGAGGAGAGCACTTTCAAAACCAAGGCTGAACAATCTCTGGCCCAGGTTTCTATACCCAACCAGACTATCAACCAGGCAGAATAAAGACACCATCAACCATTCAATGTCTCTACAAATCTGCCTCTCTTGCACTCTTTCCCAGGAGCCTACAAACAGGATGTGCTCCATATCAGTGTAAAGAGTTAACCCCAGAGAGAAGACATGGGATCCAAGAAGCGGGCTTTTGATACAGGAGAGAGGGAAAGGCAATCCCAGGATGACAGGGAAGCAAGCATGAGGGCAGAGGAGACAGAGGGCAAAACTCTCACTTTGCTCAAAGGGAAGTCAGCAGACAATATCCAAAACTGGGAGCTGGAAGCAGGTAGAAGGAACAGAAGTAGCAACAGAGTAATGTTATTTAGAATCAAGGAAGTAAACACCAAAATACTTAGCTAAGAAAAGGTACCGGTGCTGCTTCAAGGCAGAGATGGGAGGGGCAGCTGCCTGGCAGCGTGCCACTGAGACATGGGGCCTGCTGTCCTCCCCTCCCAGTCTGGGCAGATGAAGCAGGACACAAGAGATGCCTCACTAACCACCCTCTTGGAGAGGCCTGGGAAGTGAGACCATTGGAGAAGAGGACTCAGTCATCCCCTCCAGGACACAAAGTGGATGACACCATGATGGAACCCCCAGACCAGCTCAATGAAGCATGCCATGCCCATAGGGGCTGGCCCACACTCCTGACGCACACAGAGAGTCATGAGAGGTAACAAAACGGTGGTTCTTTAAGCCACCAAGTTTTGGGATGGCTTGTTACCCAGCCACAGGTAAGAAGAACAGCAATGAACTACTGTTTTGTGACGAGACTTACAGAACTATTTTTTTTTTTTTTTTTCCCTTTAAATTATATGGATGCCCAATTTGGACAAAAGTAACTAAAAACTTTTTTTTAAAGAATTCAATATAAAGATAAAGCAAAGTAAAATCCTAAGCCTTAAATTAAAATTAAAAAAAACCCCACAGCATCTGGCCTGGCAAGCCTGACCTTGCACCACCATGCCAGATGTGCCATGCATGACAGCAGGCCCGACCCCAGCTCACACCACCTCTTTTCCCTGTCCCCAAACCAACACCACATCCAGCCTCACTGACAGCCACGGATTAAAGATCAAGCAGTTTAAGCAGCGGGGGGAGATAAACTTGCTCAAGAATTCAGCATCTCAGTTATATGTAAGAGCAGGGGCAGTGAGAGGCACACAGCCGCCCTGCGGCGAGCTCGGTGCTCAGTGCCAGTCCTGGGCGTGCACTGGCAGGCCCCTGCGGCAAGGCAGCTGAGGTCCCCCCCAGCCCGAGGGGGGGGGCAGGCAAAGATTCCCAGGGGGGAATGGCAGGCAAAGATTCCCAGGCACAAGGGTGAGGAGAGAAAGGCAAAGAGATAAAGGCTCACTCAGACCCTTCAGGGCGAGGACACCAGTGAGTGTGGCCTTCGAGGGGAGATGGATTTAAGACCAAATCTCGGGGTCTACCTGCTGTTACTACATATGCTGAAGGTTCTGAACAAGATCTCACACACGGTGTCTTCGTTACAACATCAAACACTGGTCAGAGTCCCACCTACACCCCCTCAATCTCTTTCTAACCGCAAACACATCTAACCCTCCAGCCCAGGAACAGACGTCTGGGCAGCACTAAAATGGCATTCTCAAAACCAAAGCAGGGAGCTTCCACGAGGCACAGGAGTGGTGCTTGGCTTGCCAACCCGTTGGTGACGCTGCTCCTCAGCAGCTCGGTGGGTGCAAACACATGAATCGTAGCTGCGGGCAGGAGGAATATCAGGTGCATCTCTACGCCCCGAGGGCTCAACTCCTACACTTAAACCCCTCCCACTGGAACAGCCGGCTCCAGTTTCAGCCAGCGAGCGAGCGTGAGAACAGGTCCTGCTCTTGGGCACCGTCAGCCACCGGCTCCCGACCTAACCGCTCCCAGCACTGCCCGTCTCTGGTAAGTACCCATTTCTTCTCAAATTCAAGTTTTCTTTCAAAACTGCTCTCAGATGTATCTTGAACTAACTATATGGTTCAGTGAACCACCTGCCAGGTGTCTGCTCTGCCTTGCTCTACTCTGAGGATTACTCAGGACCAGCAGGTGCATCGCTGGAAAGGAGACCATTATTACAAAACTTTTAATAAGGCTTACACTTTATTCTAAGAGTACGAACAAGTTTATTTGGAAATTAAGTCCTCATTTCTACATAAAATTTAAACTAAAACTCAAACATATGTGCTTATCTGTTCCTTACCTTAAAACTACAGTAATTTTCAACATTAAAAGATCATGTATATATAAACACAGGTAAACATATATACATATGTGTTGAGACAATTGCTGAATTTACAGGCTACTTTTAAAACTTCCTGAAATTTAAAATAAGTAGTCTTTTTTTTTTAAGGTTTTATTTATTTGACAGAGAAAGAGAGAAAGAGCACAAGCAGGGGGAGCTGGAGAGGGAGAGGGAGAAGCAGGCTCCCCGCTGAGCAGGGAGCGCAATGCGGGGCTCAATCCCAGGTCCCTGAGATCATGACCTGAGCCGAAGGCAGACGCTTCACTGACTGAGCCACGCAGGCGCCCCTAAAATAAGTACTGTCTTGACATGTGCTTACCAAAACAAAAGGAAGAAAACCAAAGAGGATCCCTAAATATACAAAAAGGGTTTTTTTCCCCCTTACAAAGTTTCTCATAAACCTGTTACGACAACAATTATTGACCAAATGGCCAAGTCTGACCAAAGTCAGATTTTATTTAAGCAAATTCTGTCTACATTTACTACCTTTATTCTGCATTAACAAAGTCCTCCCAATGTCTCAAACTGGTATTGTTCGGGATAAACGAGGCAGGTATGCTGAGGGGGGCCGGCTCTGGTGAACAGACTGTCAAACGCTGAAGCTGCATACATTTACTAGTGAGAGCGTATGTCTGTAACTTGGGATCTCTGGCTGAAACTAGAAAGAGCCCTGCTTGTTTTTCCAGCTCCATTCTTCTAAACTCCCTTCTAGAAAACTGTCTTTCTCCCTAGGTCATGGTTGTCCTGAAGTTTATTCTTCATTTTAAAGAACCAAGAGTCTGGGAGGGAGTGGTGGTTAATCACTGGAAAAGCTCAATTGGAGTAAAACTCACAAATCTCGTTCTTGCGACACCCCAGTGGGTAGGCGACAATGGCGTGTCCTTGGGTTATGCAATAACGCCACATCACAATATTGTAATTATAGCATGCCCTTCAAAACGCTCTACCTGACGAGGCTCCCTGCCAGACAGCCGGACAGCACCGAAGGGACCATTACAGCATTAGTTCAGTTCATAGGTAACACGCATGACAAGCATACTTAGCCAGCCCGTCACAGCAGTGTCCTATAAAGCTAAGCTGTAATTACCTCTATTGTGTCCTATCAAAGTTACAAAAAAAGTCTTTTTCTCTTGTCTGTTTTTTGGATTTCAAACTCCTTAGAAACTTTTTAAACCCCATGCCAGCCACTATTATTCTTATCTTAACAACTGGCAACGACATTAATTGTCCACACTTAGGAACCTATCGAAAGATAGTGCATTGGCAATTTAGAACTTCAAAAACAAGCAAACAAAACCCTGTGGCCAACCGAAACCACAGGTTGCTCAAAGTGCTATGTGGGCAGTTATGCCCAGACGCCCGGCGGGCCTGTGAGCAGGAGCCCCGCAGGAGGAGAAATGCGGCAGCCAGGGCCGGCTCCCGGCACTTTCTAAGGCAAAAAAGTACATCAGTTCAATACAAGCAGATGTTTAAAACGCTTGATGTCACAAAAGGGGCATCTTTAAATAAGATAGGAAAACCTCTGGAAGTTCACACAGGGCCCTGTGTGTGGCTTTAAGTCACCACCCCCAAGGTCTCTCCCCTTCGGTGTGGACGCTGTGTACACGGGCCGCTTAGCCTGACAGGACTCCGGGGAAGGATGTCGCAGAGGCAGGCAGAGGACAGACGCGACCCCACATTTCAGTGACAGCCACTCTGACCCTGACGGGGAGGGAGGGAAGGTGCGTGAGGAGCAGCTCCCAGCACTTCCTGCTGATCAAGAGTAAACAACATTGTGACACACAAACCTCCTTGGAGGACCAAGCTAACATCTGAACTTTAAAACGTGCTAACACTGCAGTTCTCTAACAAAAGCCAAATCAAAGGGGTCCTGCATTATTAGCAGCTCTCCAGATACAGATTAACTAAGAAAGACACATGCCGTCTCCAGGAAAAGGCTATGTGAAACACCTCTCAGCACCTTTAGAAAAACCTCACCTCTCAATGCAAATCCAAACCTACTACAAACAGTTAAAGTTCTCGATTGTGTTGTTTTGGCAACAATACCCTTTTTGGGGAATATTTAACACCAGCAGCTGCCAGCAAGCACCAAGCCCAGCGGATACAAACTGGCCTGGCAGAGACTGTCACAAACCGTGTCCCTAAAGAGGGCGAGACTGATAAGGTCCCGGGCAGTCAGGTCGAGTTCCTTCGCCCTGGTAACCCTCACAGGAGAACTCGCAGACTGCCATCATGCTACATAGGCTGTTCCCTTCGAAAGCTTACCAGAGCCTCCATTTTATCCCACTTATGTCTCTGACATTACTGCCTTTTTATGACCGAGTGAATACGCCCGTCTCCATCGGCATCTGAAGCAGCTGTGCTCCCTTGTTTTAATTAGTGAATTGTGCAACCCTGAGAGGTCAGTTTACCCATAGTTACTAACACTACTGCCCCTGTGAGCCCAGCGCAGGCTTCCCTTCCCACAGGTCAGCCCTGGGATACTCTCACCTCCTAGGGCACCGGCATGATCCCCAGAGAACCTATTTAACTGTCCTTGTATGCTAACTGAACAAAGAACAAAAATTCAGACCAGACTTTTACACACAACATCACTTGATTGAAAAAAGTATATATTAACATAAAACCAATTATTACCCAAATTATTCTTCTAGGTGACACTAAGATAAATATAACTTGCCTCCTATAAATGTTTGATAAATTTAACATAGGTTTATTTACGTGTTTGCCTAAAAGTATCAGCAGCGCTAAAGAAAACTGCTTCTAAAACTAACACGTCGTTATTTAGCACATCTGAACCATTCTCCTAAGTCCTGAGGGAATTTTTCACTCATCTGCGCTCCAGGGTTTTGGATGCTGGTGGTGGTCCATCTGTGTCCACTCTCGGTATCGCTGGACTCTGGGTTCACACTTGATAAAGTTTTGCAACTGTCATCATTTTGATCATGATGCTTCCAGCTAGTGATGAAATCACTTTTCGGATCTTTGCCATAACATATCCTATACTATCATGGGAACCTGACTTGCAGAGGTTCTCACGCCTTCAGAACCAGGGAGCATGGTGAGACGTGCCGGCACATGCCCGCTGACTTATCTAGCTGGCCTGGGCTGGCTGGAATCGCTTCCCGACGGGCGGCAAGGAAATTGTGCTTTTGTAGCCCAGAGCATACCTACCCCCCAAGGTATGGGCTGAACTCATCAAGAGTTATTTCACATTTTTCCCTTTAATAAGAGGGGAAGTTTAGAAGGACGCAAAGCTATGCTTACATGTTGAACATGCTGGGTTCTGACACTGCCTTGCAGCCCCTGCAGCCACGCAGTGGGTGGGAGAGGAGGTCAGGGGCAGGGTGAACCAATGAACCGCCCCCCCTCCCCCGCCCAGGGCTCTGCGACACACGCCCCTCCAGTCACGGTCATAGGGCAGCCAAAAGTCTCGTTTCTCACCCAAAATACAGGCCTCACCACTACTGCTCTGCAGAAACTCCTCACAACAGAAGGGCCACAGACACAGGCAGAAACCACTTCTTGTAAATATCCATCTCTGGAAACAATGGATGATAATACAGCAGTTTGTCAGTTGGGGCAGGGGGAGTGCTTTTTTGTGTCTTTAAGGAATATGAATAAATGAGTAGAGAAACCAGTTTGCTGAGAATAAAATCAGAGAGCTTTCTCAGAAATGTAAGGTATCCAAGTGAAATCCCAAACTCCACCTGCTTCCACCCCTCCTGCCCCCATCAATGATCTCATCGCAGTGTGTGGGATGGCAAGGAAAGGCATTTCAGAGAAACTAACTTTTATTTTGTGAAAACAAGTCTCTTCAATTTCCCATATGTATTTCTCTATTTTTAAAAGGCTGTTTTCCAGATGAACGTTCTAACCGCCCAAGGTCTAGAAGGTGATGCTTTATCCATGAAATCCCACGAGGCTCAGGACCGACCTCATTTGCCCAGTCCTTAAAGCAAAACTACATCTGAAAACAGTTTTGTTAAATCATTTCCTTTTAACTTTATTTTTAAGCTGTTTGAAAACATTTAGAAGCTGAAGCTCTTGAGTGAAAGAGCGGGCCCTGACGCTTCCCCTTGCCCTCCAGCCTCCCCACCCACACGCTTGCTCCTAGACACAGTCACTCCATGGGCTGGTCCGGGGCACCCAGCCACGCCGCTGGGCCATGCAAGATCCTCCCAGGCCTCATGTCTTTGTTCTCAGTTTCGGGTTATGAGGCAGAGAGAGTGCCCCAGGGGTGTGCGGAGCAGCCTCTGAAGGAAACCAGGCTGAGACCTCTGCTTAAGCCTGGGAGTGGGCAGGGATCAGGGAGAGGAGGGCCCTGGGGGAAGGTACAGAAGGCCAGAGACACCTGCAGCCCAGGACATTGCCAAGGACGGCCCCCGGCCCACTTCCTAAAGGGTAAGGCTAGGATAGTGTCCTACCACAATCCAACCATCTCTCAAACAGGCACCACCATTTGGAGGTAAGGTCAGGAAAGGCAGGCAGATGCCCTGGGCCAGACATGCTCTCAGCGGTCCACACGCATCTGTGTTCGCTGGCCGGGCAGGCATGGGGTGAGCGCAAGAGCTTATTCCACAGTGCTCATGAGGTGGGCAGTGGAAACACGGCAGCGAAGGAGAATGTTCGGTCCCTCACAGGGCTCAGAAACTCACCTTGATAGCATCTCAAAACCATCTGAGTCAACATAAACACAGCACTTATATATTTGTATTTGAGACAGCATAAATGCTACTTACAGATAAAGCTGACTTTTCATTTGATTTTGGAAGCAGTAAGGTGGGACTGCATATTTAAATATTCTTTTCTAAGTACCAACAGGTAGAACACAACCTGATTAAACAGGACAGGACAGTCAAGGAGCACTGACTCCGTGTCACACTCAGACTTTCCCGGCTCTAATTAAGCAATGTGAGTGTCACACACAGACCAGGCTCCCGTAGTCATGGTCAGCGCAGTCAGACCAGCACCACAGACTCCATGGACATGGATGGGGGGGAGGGGGTCCCAACAACAGTCACTTGGCCTCAGTCTACAACCTTCCCGGCATCAGAGGCCTCAGGTCACAGGGCAAAGATTCCCAAAGCTCAAAGAACTGCAGGTGTTCTCGGAGCTGACGTTAGCACACCCTACTCTTCTTGGCCCCAGGACAACGCTTTCAGGTCAGACTTAAGGAAACAGGAACATCGTGGGGGCTGGCGGCCAGGTTACAAGTAGGGAGCAGCTGGTGTTCATCTCATCCTCACACTGACGAGGATAGTGACCCCTCCGTACCTGCAGGTGATCTGTTATGAAGCCGGGCTAACTCCTTCTCCACCCAACAGGCTAGTGTCCTGACCCTAAGGCTCTGCTCCTCTGTTGCAGCACAAGCCCCAATGAGCAAGACTTCCCCTGTCAGACCCACAACACGTGGAGCTGTCTGCAAATAGAAGTACCTGGAAAGGAAGCAAAGGAGAAGCAGCAACCGCCAGATCATAATTAGACAGGAGCCAGCAGGGATTGGACCAGCGAGAACACCAGCGCCTACACCACAAGAAAGAACATGAGTCTTCTCAAAGAGCGAAAACCAAAAAAGCCGCATTACATCCCAAGGCCTCCAGGAAAGCCCTTTAAGTATAAGTGTTTCCAGTGTCCTTTCACTTGCAATGAAAAGTCACACCTTTTCAACCACATGAAGTACGGTCTCTGCAAAAACTCCATCACTTTAGTGTCAGAGCAGGACCGCGTCCCTAAGTGCCCCAAATCCAACTCTCTGGACCCTAAGCAAACCAATCAGCCAGATGCCGCAGCAAAGCCAACCTCCGCCAAGCCTGTCGCAAACGGGCTCCCAAACTTTGATGCCAAGCTCCAGCAAAGCCTTGCCAAGGACGACGCAAAGGAAAACCTGGAACTGCAGGCACGTGGGCCCCACAGGTGCTCAGGACAGAAGCCTGCTCTCCACGAGGAAGCAGCACCCCTGAGTCCAGCTTCAGAAGCCAGCAGGGGCACCCAGCCCATTCTGGAGGGCATTGTGCGGCCCTCGGCATTTGTCCCGGTGGGAGAGCACAGACTGAAAGGGCCAGAACACGCTGAGGCTCCCAAAGGGCTGGCACTGCCCAACCCCACAGCCAAAGCCCCCTCCTTCCACACCAAGTCTGCATTCCATGCTCCCAGCTACCCATGGAAAGCTGGCTCGCCTTTCCTCCCGCCTGAGTTCCCACACAAAATCCCTTCTACAAAGGGGTTTAGTGCTATTTCCCCTTATGTGCACCCTGCGATCCCAGAGTACTCGCCGCACTTTTACACAGAGCATGGACTGGCCGCTCTCTACTCACCCTACCTGCTTTCTGGGAACTCACCCGAGTGTGATGCCCCCCTGCTGTCCGTCTACGGGGCCCAAGACCACAGGCACTTGCTGCCCCCCCCGGGGCCAGTCCCGAAGCACCTGAACCCCCCCTCAGCATATGACCATTACAGGTTCTTTCCGCAGTACCATTCCAACCTGCCAATCCCTTACGGGTTTTACAGACCAGAGTGTGCGTTCTCCTCCTACGGTCTCAGACTCCCACCCGTCTCGGGTATTTCCAGAGATCAAAGCTCCCACCTACTGGAAGAAGCTGCCCTGCTCTACCCGGCCTTGAGTCCGTCCAAGTCAAGTCCTTCCAGCACCCACAAAAAACACACCGAGTTTGAGAAGGAGAGCCCAACTCCCGATGCTAAAGATTCCTCCAAAGATGAGCAGAGGGACACAGAGGGAACCAAAATGAGCCCTCGAGCAGGCAGCGCAGCCACAGGCTCCCCAGGAAGGCCGAGTCCCACCAACTTCACACAGACAAGTCAGCCATGTGCCGGGCTGTGCGGCCTCTCAGACAAGCCAGCCTCCATCTCCCTGGGAAGGCTCCATCAGCCCGAACACAGCCCGACAGCCTTCAAGCCTGTCAAGAAAAGCACCGAGTGCCCACATTCCCAAGCTCTGGAAAACAGAGACGAGTCTCCAAAAAGGTAAGAAATTTCATTTTCAAAATCTCCAAAGCATGTGTCTGGTTGTGCTCAATTAGCCAAGCTCATACATGCTCAAAATGCCTTAGACAGTAGCTTTTCTAAGCAAGGTTCCTACTAAGGCCTCTCTTTCCCTCTTTCAGTCTTGACGCCATGAACGGAGATGCTCCAGCTGAGACAGGAAGTGCCTCTCATGGCACAGAGGCCACCCCTTCCAGCCCAGAGGATGGCTCCAGGACAGCTCCGCTGAACCTCTCCAAGAAACCTGAGGTTAAACCAGCCACGCACAGCCCTGTGTACAAGGACTTTGCAGAGCTGCAGGACATGCCTCTTAATCTCTCGGTGAAAGACCCCTGCAATGCCCTGACTCCGAGACCCTCCTTCCACAACCCACTGCAAGAGGCAGGACCTGCCACCACAGCTGCTCAGAACACTGAGATGGAAAGTTCCGAAGATGGGCCAGACCACACTCAGACAAACCAAAATGGCCTTGACACTGGTGAGGTGCCATCAACAACCCATACCGTGAAGGCCCGGGACATGAGAGCGGTGGACAGCAGCGATGAGCAAAAGCAGACGGCGGCTGTGGCCCTCTGCCAACTGGCAGCCTACAGCCCGGGGAACGTCCGGGTGGGCGATGGGGAACCCATGGCCCCGGAGTCCACCTGCCAACATGATGCACCCACTCTCAGTGCCACGGAAAGCCAGGAGGCTCAATGTGACCTCAGACCCAGAGGGCAAAAGAGGACAAGTCCAAGGGATGCAGGGAAGTCCCAGCAAGGAACTAAGAAGACAAAGCAGAGTGACACAGCCAGAGTGTTCACTCTTCGGAAAAGAACACGGGTGTCCTAGTGCCCGGCTCTCGCAGGCTGCAGACACACCTTCCAAAGTAGGTTCAGCAAATCTTCACTGGCACCTTCGCTTTTTCAATGTAGTTTCTTTTTCTTCTCAAAAAAAAAAAAAGAAAGAAAGAAAAAGAAGCTGCAATTTCAGTTCAGTTTCTGTAAATATCAAACATGAATATTCAAAGGTGCTTCTACTTTTGGTTGTAAAAATATTTAAATGACTCATACTCTTAAAACTGAGGGGTTAAACACTGCCTTTTGTTTTTGTAAAATGTCACACTGAATACATAGACTAAAAGACACCTTTTAGGTGTATGCCATCTTATAGGAAAGCTTTTAAAAATACTTTTCTTATAAATACCTTAGCACTAAAACAAACTGCTTTAACTGTTTTGCTATCAAATCTACTGTGTGTTTTCAAGTAAATAACAATTACTGAAAAAAAATGCCAGGAGAAAACATTTCCAGCACTGTCATTAAAGTGCCCTATGTAAAAACGATGTGATTTGTTACAAGTGAGTAACACACAACATCAAGAGGCTATTTATGATTTATCTCCAGTAGGGAAAACACATTGCTGGTGCAGCGGTAGCTAGTGTCTTCCACTTCCTCATGAGGCTACGGTGAACTTCCTGACTCATTCAGCCGCACTTTCCACTTTCTAAAATGATGTACATATCGCTAATTTTCCAATAAACTCGTAAGTGACTTTAAGAATACATGAACTGTGTGTGATGCTTTAGTCTGCCACAGCAAACAAAGGCGATGAGAAAGGGAGCAAGGTGAGGCAGCAGTGAAACAGAAAGAGAGCACCTGCCGTGCGTGTGTGAGCGAGCCACCGAGTCCGGCACACGCACCCACCTGGGGCTCCCCAGGTCTCAGTTCCTACAACTGCCTCCCGATGGCCCACCCCCAGGCCTTCACAGGACCCCTTCCTCCCACTTCTCCAGAGGGCCCCCGTCCTCCGACACGTCACCTGAGGTGACAAAGGGCCAGTGGGCACAGCCATGCAGTGCTGAGCCGTGCCTTCAGACAACCACATGCCGTTAACCCAAAACATCTAGGGTTACAACACAAACCCGAGGAACACGCGCACTTCCTTCACTAGCATGCCAGGGCTCTTTCATTTTTGTACACCAAAATGTTTTGACAAAGAACAAAAATAGGATACCCCTGCTTTCCGGCAAGTCAACCATCCTGCAGGAAGCAAAACCATACATCAGAGGGCACCCCACAGACAAGCTCTCGCCTCGTGCTTTACACACAACACAGACCTTCCGTGTCAAGGGTGCAAAGATTCGGAGACCACTGTTTTATAGCTCACCCAAAAGTGTCATGCATCATCCTAAGTGATAAGAAGAGGAACCAGGGACAGTTAACGACGGTCCAGCCCTCCTGCAACCGTGCATCATGAGAGGAGACGCACACCTCAGAGTTCTCGGGGAAGGCACAGGGCATTACTACTTGCAGATTTCCACTGTGGAGCCGTGTGTGCCTGCAGCACCACGACTGACCCCTCCTCACTGAATTCCCCCAGAGCTCACACATCACAGACACAGCCACGGAGACGCCGGCAGGCCCTTCAGATCTGTCTCTAAAAGCACAACAGAGGGTGCCTGGGTGGCTCAGTTGGTTAAGCATCAGACTCTTGATTTTGGCTCAGGTCATGATCTCAGGGTCATGAGACTGAGCCCCGTGTCACGCTCCACACGCAGCGGGGAGTCTGCTTGAGATTCTCTCTCTCCCTCTCCCTCTGCCCCTCCCCCACCCCACGCTCTCTCTCCTGTCTCTCTAAATAATAATTATAATTTATAAAGTACATGGAGTCCTAGATCTTTGTAACAAAAAAAGTCTTGCTGATTTTTTAACTATACCACCTTTCTGTATTTACTTGTGACCCAACTTATGAGCTCTTAGTTTTTAACCTTTACATATAAAAAGCAATAAACCCTCAAAAAGTTAAATATAGAGTTATTTCCCTATGACCCAGCAATTCCACTCCTAAGTATACACGCCAAAGAAGTAAAAACAAAAACTCAAACAGATATGTGTACACCAATATTCAGAGCAACATTATTCACAAGTCAAAAGATGAAAGGAACACAAGCATCCACTGAAAGATGAACAGACAAATAAAATGTGGACTATCCACACGATGGAATATTACTCAGCCATACAAAGGAATAACGTTCTGACATGTGCTACGGCATGAATTAACCCTGAAGACCTCTTGCTCAGTGAAATAAGCCAGACACAAAAGGACAAACCTTGTACAGATCCACCTGTGCGAGGCACCTACAACAGGCAAATTCACAGAGGCCGACAGAGGCGTGTTATCAGGTACTGCAGGGGAGGGGAGAGGGGAGCTTAATGGGGACACGGTTTCTGTTCAGGATGATGAAAAGTTCTCAGAAACAGTGATAATGGTTGTACAAACTGTAAATGTGGTTGATACCACTGAATTGTACGCTTAAAAATTGTCAGCAAGGCAAATGTTTATGTTACTTACGTTCTATAATGTTCTTTAAAAATAATACACCAAAACCATTAAATCACATATCTTATATAGGTAAACTGCATGCTAGGTGAACTGTATCTCAATAAAGCTAAAGGGGTCCTTGAATTCGTACTGAAGAGGAAAACAAAATGCTGACAACAACCCTTCTGAAGAGCCTTCCCAGCAGCCCCTGGCAGTCTGCCCCCACCACCAGCTCTAACCTTCACCACAATGCCACACTCCATGGGGAAAGAGGGCATGTGTGGGTGTGAAATGAAGCACACACATATTCATCAAGGAGAACAGCACTTTAATTCAGAAGGGCAGAACAACTACTTCACATACTAAGTCAAAGAGGTCTCATGGTATTCACTTCACTTTCTTTTTTTTTTTAATTTTTTATTTATTTTTAAGCAATCCCTATACCCAATGTGAGGCTCAAACTCACAACCCGAGATCAAGAGCTGCACGTTCTTCCGACTGAGCCATCCGGGCATCCCTGATTCACTTTTCTTACAGACTGGAGTGTCCAACAGTTGAAAATGCACAAAGGTTAAAAATCGGTGAGGCATGTGGTCCTCAGAACAGGAAGGTGCCAGGACTGTGTCAGGAACACTGGAGAAAACCACCCCTCCCAGGGCCCAGCTGCTCCCTTGGGAACTGAGGTACACAGGCCTGTGGGGAGTGACAAGGTCAGGAGAGGTCGGCCCTCTGCAACCACTGAGCTGCAGTCACAGCCAGGCCCCATCCACCAAAGCAGGTAGACTCCGGGCCCCACGGGGGACACAGGACCGCCTCTGTGGCTGACTTTGGCTTGAGGACCCCAGCCCCACCCCCACCCCACAGCACCCGGGCCAGAAAGTGACTCTGCCACCCTTCCTGTTTTCTCTCATGGGCACTTCTCTAATAAAATCTCTGCACATTTAATCCTGTCTCAGCATCTGTTTCTGCTCAGAGGACCCAGACTAATGCTGGAACACTAGTCAAATGCTCGTTTTTGGATAATGTCACAGAATATGGCAAAGTAGGGAACTCCACAGATCGGTCCCTCCACCAAAATAACTATTAAGCCAGCAAAACTGACAGACTCAACTTGTTCAGAACTCTGAAATCTCATCAAAAACTTACAGAAACCAGGAGAGTGCTTAGTGAAGAAAGAACCTACAAAATTTCAGCACTTAATGAAATCTGTTAGGTCACTGGCTGTCTGCAAATGTAATGGAACCAAGACTTGAGTGACCAGACATAACAAGGAATACAGTCGTTGCAAACAGACTGGAAGAAGTCACTAAATGGACAACGATCACCTTCAATAAGCAACAAGAGCAAACCCCTGGGGGCGGGTGAAAACCTGATTTCCAGAGTTACCACATTATAGTATTCAAAATGTCAGTTTCCAACAAAAAACTACAAAGCATACAAAGAAACAGGAGAGTACACATATATTTCAAAGGAAAAAAAGAAAAGCAGAGAAATTGTCCCAGAGGAAGCCCAGACATTGTACTAAAATCAAAGACTTTAAATCAACTCTCTAAGATATGCTCAAAGAGCTAAAGGAAACCAAGAAAACAATATCCGAACAAACACGGAATGTCAATAAAAAAAAAGAAACTACAAAAAGAGACCATACAGAACTTCTGAAACTGAAAAACACAGTAACAGACAGGAAAACTTTAAGCGAGCTGTACAACAGCAGATTTGAGCAAGTGGAAGAAAGAATCAGTGAACTTGAAGACAGGGCAATTGGCATTATCCAGTCTGAGGAGCAAGAAAAGAAGATAAAGAAACAAACATTAGCCCCGGTCATCCCCAGAGCCTGCGCCAAGACAAAATCACTGTTCCCCAGGTCTGGCACCATCCTTCCCAGGCAGGAGACAACACAACTCCCTGAGACCCTGCCGGGCACAGCAAGGGCCTGCAAGAGGGTTCAGCGCACATGGAAGATACCACCAGTCTGGAGGCAGGCAGCCAGCCAGTCAAGGCCACACGTTACATCTTCTAGATTTTAAGCAACAGCTTGACACTTCTCACTCATGACACCAACACCCACATTTTCTCACACCAGCAGCTAGTGACCGATGGGAACCTCAACATCATAAGTTATGACGGGTATATGCATACCAGCCAGTCTCAGGCACAAAAAGCAGAGAAAAGGCTCTATGTCCTTCAAGTTAAACTAGAGTTGGAACCACCCAGGCAGGGATTTCACCTTGTCTGTGACACACTCAAAGAAGACTGCTGAGCTCGGTTTAATCAAAATGCAGGACTTCGGTGCAAATGACACCAACCAGAAAGTGAAACAACAACCATGGAATGGGGGAAAATACTGCAGATCCTGTACCTGGTGAGAGACTTAAATCCAGAATCATAAAGAACTCAAAGCAACAACAAAAAGACAGGCCAATTTTTTAAATGAGCAAAGGATTTGAACAGATGTTTCTCCAGCAAAGATCTCCAAATGGCCAACAAGAACATGAAAAGATGCTCAACATCATTAGTCAGTCATGGAAATGCAAATTAGAGACACAATGAGATACCACTTCACACCCACTAAGAGAAAAACAAGCGTTGGGGAGGATGTGGAGAGACTGCAACCCTCATACACGCTGCTGGTGGAAATGTAAATGTTACTACCATTTTGGAAAACAACCTGGCAGCTCCTCAAAAACTTAAAGATAGAGTTACACCACATGACCCAGCAATAGAGACCCAAGAGAACTAGAATCACATGTCCACACAAAAGCTTGCACACAAATGTTTGTAGCAGGTGCACCTGGATGCCTCAGTCGTTGAGTATCTGCCTTCGGCTCAGGTCATGATCCCAGGGTCTTGGGATCGAGCCCCGCATCAGGCTCCCTGCTCCGCGGGGAAGCCTGCTTCTCCCTCTCCCGCTCCCCCTGCTTGTGTTCCTTCTCTCACTGTGTCTCCCTCTGTCAAATAAATAAATAAAATCTTTAAAAAAATAAATAAAAATAAAGACATTAAAAAAAAAACCCAAATGTTTGTAGCAGTTTATTCATAATAGCCAAAAGGTGAAAAATCCCAATGTCCATCAACTGACGAACAGATAAATGGTGTGGTGTATCCATACAATGGAGTATTATTCAGCCATAAAAAGGAACAAAGTACTACTGTTGCATGCTATAATATGGATGAACCTTGAAAACATCACGCTAAGTAAAGGAGTCAGGCCCAAGACCACTACCATAGATGCCATTTATAAGAAATGACCAGCAAAGGCAAATTTAGAGGGACAGAAAGCTGATCATTAGTTGTCTGGGGCTGGGTGTGTTCAGGAGAATGGGGAGTCACTGCCCCTGAGCACAGGGTTTCTTTGTGGGACAATAAAAATGTTCTGGGGGCGCCTGGGTGGCTCAGTTCGTTGGGCGACTGCCTTCGGCTCAGGTCATGATCCTGGAGTCCCGGGATCGAGTCCCACATCGGGCTCCCTGCTCAGTGGAGAGTCTGCTTCTCCCTCTCCCACTCTCCCTGCTTGTGTTCCCTCTCCCACTGTCTCTCTGTCAGATAAATAAATAAAATCTTGGGGCGCCTGGGTGGCTCAGTCGGTTAAGCGACTGCCTTCGGCTCAGGTCATGATCCTGGAGTCCCGGGATCGAGTCCCACATCCTGCTCAGCGGGGAGTCTGCTTCTCCCTCTGACCCTCCCCCCTCTCATTCTCTCTCTCTCAAATAAATAAATAAAATCTTTAAAAAAAAAAAAAAGTTCTGAAATTAGATTATGATAATGGTTGCATAGCTCTGTAAATATACCATAAACCACTGAACTGTACACTCTAAATGGGTGAACTTCATGGTATATAAATTTTATCTCAGTAAAGCTGCCACAAAAATAAACCGAAAGATTAAACAGAATCTTGAAGGTCTAGGAGCCCTCCTCACGCTTCACAATGCCAAGTACAAGCCATTACTTCTGACACCCCACAGCTCAGGTGCTACAGAGGAAGATGCGGGGCCCTACCCATCTCTGCACAGATGTCTTTACTCTGGATAGAAGTCAACTCCCACGGTGCAGAGCATGTGTGGTGACACAGCCCAGGAAGGGGCCTTCTCCATCCTTCACAGGTGTCCTTCCCTTCTGTCCAGAGGCACCACCAGCCACACCAGAGCTGATCCCCACCAGTCAGACAGGGCTTCACATGGCCACACCCCATGCTCCACCTTCACATGTCTAGGTCCAACAGCTGGGACATGCAGGCTTGGAGCCCAGTGGTCCCTCTACATCTGCTGCACTGTGCCCCTGTCCCCCTGCTCAGGCCGCTACCAAGCTTCCTCCAGCCCTCCGCCCCCACCCCTTGCTGGTGTGAGCCTTGTTCCCAGGGGACCGTGATGTCACTCCACGTGATAAATACAGCAGCAGTGCACAACTTCTTAACAGGCAACAGCACCCCCACAGGGGTGAAAACCAGTCCTGAGGGACAAGAAAATCTCAGACATTACAATGGTTCGTGGCTCTCCAAATCCAAACACAAAGTATACCTGTGGTATTAAAATTTCACAGCAGGGAGAAGAGGCAGTCAGAAAATCAGAAACGTGAATACAAGAAGGAAGGCTGAAAGACACAGGTCTAGTTTGCTGTCTCCTGCACACGAACGCGCTAGGCAGTGAGGGCAGAGGCCTGGTGCACGCTCACGGCAGGCCACGCTGGAGACACAGGGTGAAATGAAGCACCCAACACGCTACGAACAGTCCTGACGATGCAGAGCAAACGTGTGCAGTACTTACCATCCTTGAGTCGGGAAGGGAGCAACAGGCCTCTTCTGCCCAGTTCCGCCAGCGCCAGACAGCCACCATGCCAGGCATTGTCCGTCTCCTGAAAACTGAGACACACACAAAGCCTGAGACTGCAGTGCTCGTTCCAGCTTCTCCCGCCGTGTACACAGACTGCAGGTCCACATCCTGTGCCCAGGAGCCTCCCTAAAACCCACTCGTGAGTTTTCCAACTGTCGGCTGGCTAAATAAATAAAACACCGCAATTTAATTGAAGGTAAGCACTGTGTTCAGTATTTCTCTTCAGACCTCCAATGACAAGCACAGGTCCTAGGTGGGCTCCACACGCTGCCAACAGAGAAAGCGGTCCGCAGATGTGTGTCAGCAAGACACCAGGCTCTACACAGGCTTCCTGCCACAGCAGGCCTGTGCTAACTACACACCCAGCGACTCACCCACTCAAGGCACGAAAACCTGGGGCTCATAGCACAGTGATTCTATCAAATTAAGGCTAGACTCTATTAGCAGAAAGGGGCAGGGAGACCTCCTTTCCTCCCTTCCTGGCTTAAAGTAGAGATTAAAAAGTTAGAATGAAAGACCATTTAGAGAACTGTTTTGCACTGTTTGAAACACTGGCTTTTAATAAACAATTATGCTGATTAATCAAGTCATAGTAAAATCTTATATCTAATAAAATTTTTCCTGAAGTGGTTTGGAAGCTCTCTTGTTTACAAGTGCACCCCTGGCATCATGATTAGTGAGAAGTGTTTCTTAGATTGATAAAGCCTGTCCTGAGAGTTTCTACATTTGGATGCCAATATAAACATGGAAATGCATTTCACCAAAAAGCAAGAGACGTTATAGGGCTCTTTCCTATTCTAAATTTATCAATCTGATAGCAAAGAAATGTTTAAGAAAACCAACTGAATTGCATTCCTCGCTAGCAAAAAGCACAAGAACATTCAGAAAGGAGAGAGTGAGGCTTGTCTGCTCACTCAACAGATACTCAGCAAGTCCCACCCGTGTGCCAGGGCCTGCAGACACAGACTCCGAGACCGACACGGACTCCGAGACAGACACAGGTGCTGCCCCGTGGACCTCCCCCATCAACCAGTGCCAATTTCTAATTCTAATTATAAATTCTTAAGTTCCAGGTATTTTTTAAAATGTCTGTCCCAAAGGCTATTTGACCACATCAAAATTTAATATTGCACTCTGTGTACTTCAGAACTTTAACTGGAAAGAGATGCTTTATGCTTTTCATGAAACTAGATAACGTTTTAAAGAAACTTATAAAAGATCAGCATTATGATGACTCAATTATCAATAAAACCATCACCAGTTACACCAATGTCCATTTCCAAACTAAATGGGTGCACTGCTGCTTGTCAACAGCTATGGAAAGGTGGCAGGACCTTCTGTCAGGCCTGTGGCCTGAGGGGGAACAAGGAAGACCATCACCCTGCTGGCCGCTACTCCGCCCACTCCAGGGGGTACTCAGGAACAGTGCCTCCCCCACACAGCACCTGGCTTGCAGCCAGACTTCTGCCCTACTCACTCTCTCCAAGGCCCAACATGCACAAGCAGACGTGGACAGGGGGCTGCTCCCTGGGGCCAAGGGGGTACCCCCAAAGGTTTCTCAACATCACAGAGACTCTGAGAAGTCACAGCACCCACAGCACACCCAGGACCTGGGACCTGGGGCTGCAGTCCATCTGCTAACTGGAGACCCCCTGTGCGGCTGAGCTCAGATGGCAAACACAAGGACCCTGGCCAGGCCAACGGGGCCTTGCTCTCCTCCTCCCACAGGCCCTCTGCTTCTGCCATGGACCAGACTGCTGGGTCTAGCATACACTATCTCTGGGGTAATGCTGAGGTAATGCTGCCGGGGCCAGCGAGGGGCTACAGCACTATTTTCTAAAGGGGGGGGGAAGGTGGGCACAGGTACTGACGGACAGCCGCACATCCAGGGGGTGGGACATAGGGAAGGGAGCAGCAGCTGAGGGATGATGCCCATGGTGCTCACCCTGGTCCTGTGGGGCTCACTGTAAAACCCCCTGGGGACATGTGTGGCTTCACTCCACATAACCTGGCCTGGAAACAGAGCAGGGAGTGAAGGGGCAGTCCTGGGAGTGGGGTGTGCTCACAGTTAATGGAAGTAATGTTCCTGCTGACCCTGTCAGCAAAGACTGTTCCAGAAGAACACAAAAGAAGGGACAAGATCGTAGCAGCAGCTGTACCAGGTCACCAGCCAGTCCTGCCGCCCCCACCCCACCGCACACGCCCTCCACCCAGCAGGCTCCTGCTTCTCAGGGTCTTCAAACATTCTGGGCTGGGGGTGACTCCTTTCTGTGCCAGGTTCTGCAATCAGGTACTTCATACCCATCCAGGAAGAGGCTGCCTCTGCACTCAGGTCCTCTCCCTCAACGTCCTGCTTGTCACTTTGGGCTATCAGCCCTGGGAAGCAAGAGCAGTAAAACAGTTTCCACCCTCCACAACCTAAATACAAAAATTAAGAGGAGTTCATTAAAATGACAAGACAAATGCAGAGAAGTGCCTGCAGGTTAAACTAACAAGGATGAGTGAAGTAGACCACAGGTGCAGGCCAGGACAAAGGGCCGTATGTCTGGCCAGTAGAAAACATGTTCTAGGAGTTTGATGGAGACACACAGGTCAAGAACCCTAGGTCGCCAGGCAGATGTGCAGTGGCCAGAGGAGTGAGGGAGGTGCAGGAGCACCGTAACGGCCACCACCAGGAAAGCTGGTACCAGGGACGCCGCCAACAAGGGGCTAGAGAGGGCAGGTGTGAAGAGAAGGAAGGAGGCTGGGCAAGGAAGAGCCCGAGGGCAGGCTAGGTAAAGAGACAGCGTTAAATCACCAGAGGGCCCATGCAGAAATGCCCTCAGGAAGGAAATAGAAAAAAAGACTTGAGGCTGACCTGCCGTGCCATGGGCAAAGGGACCAGGGAGGAAAGGCTGGGGGTGCAGGACGTTGGCCCTTTCCACCCTCCTAAGACCTGACCCAAAGTGCTGCCCTCTCCCAAGAGCAGGATGCTCCACCATAGCCACGCAAGAGCTGCCACTGGTCGCCGCCCAGGGACTCACGCCTCTGTGCTCAGGACCAGCGGGATCCAGCATCATCAGCACACCCATCACCACGCCACCAGAAAAGAAGTCCAAGAGGATACCCTAACACAAGCCAGCAGAATCACCACGTGGACAGGGAGCACTTTCTTTCCCCAACGCGGGCGTTCCAGAGTCACAGCGGGAGCTTGGCAGACGACCGTGAAATGTTTCCACTGAAGAAACACAAGCCACACAAGCAGCATCACTCTGACATTCTGCTCCCTGAACTCCTCCAACTGTTGCTGAGCAGGCTGGAGACAAAGTGCCAGAGAAAGCCTGCTCCAGAGGAAGCACACGTGCTGTGGGTGCTCCCAGAGAAGCCTCGGCAACTGACGTACATGACTGAGCACCCAGAAGTGCAGGCAGCTCCTCTCCCTACATGCACGCACTGGCAGCCCAGGAAGAAAAGCAACTGGGGGCCAACCAACAACACCCCTTCTTAGAAGCACCTGCTTCCAAAACCCAGGGAGAGCTTTCCACAGGCAAAGTTAAGAGGCCTCTGGGACTAACCACACCAAACATGCTTTGCACCCGAGAGTGCACCCAAGAGCACACCCGAGAGCACACCTATGCTGCCCGGGTCTCTGCCCTGCCCCTGGCCTGCAGGACCCAGGCTCCGACCCCAAGGACCCACGGCTTGCACATCCCTGCCCATGCCCGCACCATGGGCCAACCAAGGGCCACCCAGACGTCTCTGAAAGGCTAAGCCAGATGCAACACAACCATTACCACGTGTGACTCTCGTCTGTTTTTTTAAGGGGGGGAGTGGGGGGAGGAGCAGGGGAAGAGAGAGAGTCCCAAGCAGGCTCCAAGCCCAGCACAGAGCTTGACTCGGGGCTCAACCTCACAACCCCAACGGAGATCATGACCTGAGCCAAAACCAAGAACCAGATACTTAACCAACTGAGCCACCCAGGCGCCCCACCACACACAGCTATTTGAATTTAAATCTGATAAAATTAAATAAAATGTAGAATTAAAAAAGAAAGAAAGTAGAATTCAGCCTCTCTGTAAGGCCAACAGCACGTGTGGCTGGCGGCCACCACGAGGCAGATCCAGAACACGCCTCACCACAGACGTTCTCAGATGTCACCCCGGTGACCCCAGGTTTCTTCGAGACTGATGTATGTCCATGTTCAAAACCACTTTTTTCTTCTTTTTTTTTTCTTTTAATTTTTATTTATTTATTTGAGAGAGAAAGAATGAGAGACAGAGAGCATGAGAGGGAGGAGGGTCAGAGGGAGAAGCAGACTCCCCGCTGAGCAGGGAGCCCGATGCGGGACTCGATCCCGGGACTCCAGGATCATGACCTGAGCTGAAGGCAGTCGCTTAACCGACTGAGCCACCCAGGCGCCCCTCCACTTTTTTCTTCTTAAAGAGGTTTTTAAATGTAATGGGATTTAAGCTGATAAAAGAAATATAACAGAAATAACTACAGTTCTCAAATTTAACTTCAAAAGGAAAACAAAAAGGCTTTGGGGGCTCTGAAAATAGCTCAGCTGAAAGAAAATGTAAAAGGATAGAGGGAAAGAACAGCCACTGCTTTTAACCAGAAACATGTCTCCTTTTGATCTTCTCACATACCTGAAACAATCCAACATAGACCCAACCACGTCATCCGCCAGCTCTTTGGGAAGCCTTGCAGCCATCCTACCAATTCTGAAAAAGAGAGGCAGCACTCCGTCAGCATCGCCAGCCCGCTGTGAGGGGAACAATCAACGAGGAACTGTCCCCAGCAATTTCCCTCCCTCCAGAGAATGGGAAAGAGAGGCAGACCCAGAGTGAGCCTCACACACACTCTGCTCTACACAACGCCTGTTAGGGAGCCTCATCCTAGCGACAGACACAGACCGACACAGGCATCTCCTGAGGGGAGGGAGACCAGGGGGGAGGGTGCCCACAGGGCAGCAGCCTGCCGCTGATGGTCAATGGCACCCAGCACCAGGCCACCACCCTTGGCCTGACCCCTCGGGACCACCCCCCACCTGGCGGGCTGCCCCGCATCCACACTAGACACCTCCTGACTGGATCAGCATCCCTCCCGGCACATCCCACTCCAACCACACGGGACTCTGGTTCAGAGGTTGCCTGCTGCTAAACACCTTCTCCATGAGGGCACCTCTCTGCAGGCCGTTCCCTCAGGCACAACAGAGGACGAACAGCACTTCCCTTCTCAGGGGCTCTGGGATTAGATAAGGCTATGTTAGCACCTGCTCCCTACGTGGGAGCTGTGCCTGCCTGTGCAGGGCAGCGGGTAGGGGCTGCACTGATGAGGACATGGAAGAGCAAGAAAAGGAACATTTGGAAGGAAAAAAAAAAAAAGGGCAAATTGGGCTTGCTCATAATTCTGCCCACTCTAGCCAGAAAGGCTAGAAAATGAAGGAGCCTCATTCCCCAGTTATGATCTTTAAAATCAGAACATAAAGCAATAAATGTATATTAGAAAAACCATTCTGCCTTCTAAAAGCCTCTAAGCTGTTCGCAGCTCTCAATTGCATGTGAAGTGCTGAATGACAGAAAGTGCTCAGCAGACCATGCGGTGTTTCACTGACAAGCCACCAGCCCCGGGCCCAGCTCGCCCAGTGGGACGGAGGGCACCTACCCTTTGGCCGCAGACCACCGCACAATCGTGTCCTGGTCCTTCAGCCCGACCAGCAGCCGCTCTGCAACAACACAAGAAGGCCAGGGCCATGAGCTCTGTGCACGCACCCTGGTTCTAGGTTAAGTTCTTCACTTCCCAGACTGAAGGTGTCCCTCATGAGCACCGTGAAGGAAATCACACGAAGACTATTAATTCTAAGGAAAAAACATTTCCTTTTCTTTGTTTTTAAATAATCATTTAAAGCCAACTCTTGCCATTGTTGCTAAAAAGCAGACCTACCCAGAGATCAATGTCTGCAAGAGGGTGCAGAAAAGGGGCTCTTACTGGGGTCTCAGGCATAGGCCAGACTCTAGGAAGAGCCACACGGGGGCCCAAAGGAAGTGGGAAGATGTCAGAGGCCTCTCGATAAGGGCCTGACAAGTCCCAGTCAATGGAAACCTTGACCAAGGGCACCCAGGCAGCCTGGGAAGGCCCAACATGGAGGAAGGGCAGGAGCCTGTGAAGGAGTCAAGTTCACTGTGACTGGGGCAGTGCAGGACCCCAGGAGTGGGGGGAGTAGGTGAAGAAGCACAATGTGAAGGGGGGAGAATGGACATGAGAAACAGTGAGAAGGCACCAGAGGAGGAGCAATGCTGTGCCTCGTGGACAAGGAGACTGGAGCTAAATGACAGTGGGAGACCCTACAGTGGGGGCAGGGGGAACCGGACGAGGAGGGGTGGCTGAAGGCTGGCAGGGTGTGTGAGGCCGCTGCAGTGGGGCTCTGCCCCGCTCTCTGAGCAGGAGACACTCCCTCGGGTAAGCGTAGGGCAGGGCCCAGAGCTCTTCAGGTTTGCAGTGGGAGGGACACTGCAGGTGTGTGCAGCACGGGGCCAGCAAAGCCACCACTCCATCTCTCCAGGAGAAGGCCTGAGGCCATGGGCCAGATGCACCCAGGTAAGGCATGGTGGAGGGCTGAGGGCAGTACACTGAGGTGGAAATATGAGGGCTCATACATGGGAAGCAAACAGTAAACAGAATGACAGGGTCCAGGGCCCAAATGGTCGTGGGCATCAGGACCGAAGGCCAGCAGCCACAAGCTCCGTGAAAGGTGAGGGTGGGCAAGGTCACGGAAGGCCACATGATGCCAGCACGAAGAGGGGAGGAAGGCATGCACCTCAGAGGAGCCTCACCAGCGCCCCCAGGACCAGAGGGCAGCAGGCCCACCGCAGGCTCACCAGGAGGCTGCAGGGACCCTACCCACCTATCACGCTCTCCACCTCCTCGGGGATGTCATAGTCTCCGTCGCTGTCGGGAGTCTCCACGTGCACCATCAACTCTTTCTGACTCTGGGCGCAGCGCTGCAGGTTGGCAGCCAACGAGCGGCAGCCACGCTGATACCTGCACACAGAGACAGTACCTCAGACCTGCTGCCACGCCCACTGGAGCCTCTAAGAGAAATTATCTTGACGACTGATATCAATACTTTGGTGTCCCTTAGGATCTGAAAGGGTTCCTGTGAAAATTCCATGTGTTTTACAGAGACGGGATGGAAAGAACATGGAGTGTAGCTGGCGTCCACAGGGCTGCCAAGAAAAGATAATGCCAATCTGAGCCACAGAACAGAGGTTCTGCGCTACTCAGAAACCCTCGAGTGCTGTGTAGTGTCAGGCAGAAAGAAGGTGGGGGACGGGGCAAGACTGCAGGAGTGTGCCTGACAGAAGCAGCAGGGAGGGCACTCATGGGTCCCGTGGGTGTCAGCCTACTTACAAGGCGCTCTGCCTCCCATCTCTACTGCCTCCAGGCCCTTCGCCACCCTGGACTCTTCAACGCTTCAACTCTTCGCCAGAGCCTCCCTCTCAAGCCCCAGCAGCCACAGCCCTCCCCCGACCGAGCTGAGGCCACAGGCATCATCCGTGGGCCGTGAGGACACTGGCATGGGCTGGCTCCGGCATCTGACCCTGCACAGCTCCTGAGCCTCCGGCCGCCACAGTTTCCTCATCTGTCAGAGGAGGCCCTACCCAGAGGCTTGTGACGGACAGATGCAAGGATGTACACAAAGGCCTTTCCTCCTGGAAGGTGGGCCCCAGTGCGCCGCACTGAGGCAAGCACGCATGGGCCAGACTGGCGGGTGGCCCTGGACCAGGACACCGCCTAGAGCACAGAAGGTGCCCGAGTCAAGGTACAGAGTGCATCTGGGGCTGCAGCCTGAGGCTGACTCCCAAACACAGACAACTGGAGCTTCACAGACAGAGCACAGAACCTGAACACCAGCCCGGGCACTGCTAACTGTGGTGCTCAACAGCTCATTAACTCCCTGGACCAGTTTCCAACTCTGTAAAACAAGGGCGGTGGCAGGCAGCCCCAGGCGGCCCACCTTCTGATGTTCAAGCAATCCTCTCCCCTTGGTGCAGCCCAGACCCAGTGACTCCTTCTGAGTAGGAGGCCACAGCAGCCAGGGGATGTCCCTCCCAAGAAGGCTCAGGAAGACTGTGGCTTCCGTCCTGCCACCTTCTCACTCGGACAGAAACCACCCGACACTGTGCACTGCACTATGGAAAGCCCCGCAGCAAGAACTTTGGGAGGCCCCCAGAAGACAGCCCACAAGGAATGGAGTCCTACCGACCTGACCTGAGCGTGCTTGGGTGCCCCAGCCACGAGTGGGGCCTTGAGATGGCAGCAGCGCTAGCCAACACCTTCGTGAAGCCTTAGACCCTGACCACAGGACCCAGCGAAGTTACACCCAGATTCCCAATCGACAGAAATGAGGACATTAAAAATGCATCATTTTAAGCTGCTAAATTTTGGGGTACTCTGTTCCATAACTGTGATGTTGTCATTTACAATACGAAATATGTATTGGGTCCTTGTCCATTTCAGGATTAAGGTGTCTTCAGTTATGCTAAAGAAGTGACTTTTGGAAAGCCCCTAGGTCACCTAAGGATGGGGACTGGTCACCATGGAAACCAACCATGTGACTGGAGGGTTGGAATTTTCAATCTCACCCCTAACCTCCGAGGAGGGAACAGGGGCTAGAGGTTTAATGAATCACCAATGGCCAATGATTTAATCAATCATGCCTCTGTAACGAAGCCTCCATAAACATCCAGGAGAGGGTTTGGAGAGCTCCTGGGGGGTTAGCACGTGGAGACCTGATCCAGAGAGAGCGGTGCATGTGGACAGGACACAGCCCTTCCCCCCCCACACCCCGCCCTGGGCTTCTCTTCCATCTGGCTGTTCCTGAGCTGTATCCTTTTATAATAAGCTGGTGATCTAGTACACAAAATGTTTCTCATAGTTCTGTGAGTCGCTCTAGCATGTTAATTGAGCCTGAAGAGGGAGATGTGGGGATCCCAATTTATAACTGGTCAGTCAAGGCACAGGTGACAACCTGGACCTGCTCCTGGCATCTGAGTGATGGAGCGGGGAAGATAGTCCTGTGGGACTGAGCCCTTAATCGGAGGGAGCATGAGGACTCAGACCTGCTACTGGCATCTGAGTGATGGGGCGGGGGAGATAGTCCTGTGGGACTGAGCCCTTAATCGGAGGGAGCATGAGGACTCAGACACTATCTGCGGGCAGACTGTGTCAGAATTGTGAGACAGCCACCTGGTGTCCAGGAACTGGCTGGTGTGGGGGAAAAAACCACACTTCAGAGCTGGTGTCAGAACGGGAGGAGCAGCAGGTAACTAATATGGGGAGAGCATCACAAGCCACCACAGGATTGTCCTCAAGATCGTAAACTGCCTGGCACAGAGCCTCACAATGGCTATCGTCCTTGCTCCTGTTCTCCTCAAATCAGTACACACGTTGATTACTTCACAGAAAAAGTACTCACCCTAACACTCAGTAATCAGAAACTACAAAGGTGACAGATTCTAGGCTGCCGTCGGATTTACCCTTCTGCCATCAATTACAAAAGCTGGACGAAAGTCATAAACCAGCCATTTGCACACATGAGATAACAAGACCGGGATACCATTCCTCACAGCAGGAGGTGCCCAGAAGCACCCCACCTTCACACCTCTCCTCCCCAAAGGTACCTTCTAAACCGCAGGATAGGAAAAGAGAGCCCAAGCAGACAGCAGCAGTCTTGCCTGGTAGATGAAAGAAAAATCCCAACTACAGAGGTGGCGAGTATTTGGGGACAGACGTTGAGAAAAAGTAGCTGCTAAGAAGGAAAACCGTAATTGTGCATAGACGTCTCGTTGGATCCTTGGACGACCCCCAAGATGTGCGAGTACAGGGTAAGACCCAGAAGCACCATGTGAGAGCAGCTGGGAGGCTGAGAGCTGAGCTGAGTCCAGAGGTCATGTAATGCTGGGGAGTCACCAGGATGCGGGCCCAGCAAGGGAGACCAAACAGCCATGCACTAGAAGTGAGGAGTGTGCTGTAGGAGCAAGGGCTATGCTCCAGGGAAAAGGAACGGAACCAAGACCATCCTAACAAGGCCTCAGGAAGAGGGAGCAGCCCCACCGAGTTACCAGCCTGCCAGACGGGCTTACTCCTCGTCAAGGGAAGATAGCCAACAGAAGAATGACACTGAAAATAAAACAATATAACAGGAGATAAAATGAAAAAAAAAAAAAAAACCCAAAATGAAGACAGAAGAGACAGAAAAAATAGCAAGAGGGTAGACTCTCATTAAATGTACGTGGAAATGCAAACTGAACAAAGCAATTATGGTGCTCAGTTACTCCCCTTCACACATAAAGGTTTACAGTCCCTGTGATGACTGATTTTATCTGTCAACTCAACTGAGCTACAGAGTACCCAGATATTCAGTCAAACTTTATTCTGTGTGTGCCTCTGCGTGATTTTGGATGAGATGAACATTTAAACTGGTAGACTGAATAAACCAGACTGCCCTCCCCAGTGTGGGTGGGCCTCATCCAATCATTTGAAGACCAGAACAGAGCAAAGAAGTCAACTCTCCCCTGGGGTTAAAAAGGAATTCTTCCTGCCTTTAGACTCAAATGCCACCATCAGCTCCCCTGGGTCTCCAGCTTTCTTACTCACCCTGCAGATGTCGATACTTGCCAGCCTCCACAATCACATGAGCCAAGTCTTTAGAAGTGTCTGTGCACACACACATCCTCTCACCCTATCAGTTCTGTGTCCCTGGAGAACCCTAACACAGTACTGAAAATTAATTTTTTTTTAAGATTTTATTTATTTATTTGTCAGAGAGAGAGGGAGAAAGAGAGAGAGACAGAGCGCACACAAGCAGGGGGAGCGGTGGGCAGAGGGAGAAGCAGATTCCCTGCTGAGCAAGGAGCCCGATGCGGCACTCAATCCCAGGACCCTGGGATCATGACCTGAGCCGAAGGCAGACGCTTAACCATCTGAGCCACCCAGGCGCTCCTGAACATTAATTTTCCATGGCATTTTGGAAACTAACCACTAACATTTAGTCTCATAAACAACTTCTTACACAATGCGCTGTATGACCCAAAAGCTAATATGAGCAAAACATCACTACAACATAACATACTTCTCTGGAATTTGCTGGAATTTGAGACAAAGGATGAGCTGAACTTTACCAAACAACTCCTCCCAAACCACCAATATCAATACTGGAAATAAAACTAAAGACTCTTAGCTCTTTCCCTGCCACCACTGAGTCACACGGAGGCAGAGGCTTGGACACATTCAAGATTTGGCTCCACCCATAACCCACTGCCGTGGCCAAGGAAAGCCCTGCTGCTGGAGGTGTCATGGACATTAATACTGCTTTACAAAAGGGGCTGAAGACCACCCTCATCCACGATGGCCTAGCACGTGGGATTCACGAAGCTGCCAAAGCCTTAGACAAGTGCCAAACCCATCTCTGTGCGTTTGCAACAACTGTGATGAGCCTGTGCGTGTCAAGCTGGTGGAGGTGGTTTGTGCTCAGCACCAAGTCAACCTAATTGAGGTTGATGACAAGAAACGAGGGGAAGGGATGGGCCTCTATAAAACCAACAGAGAAGAAAACCCCATAAAGTAGTTGGTTGCAGTTGCGTGGTGCTGAAAGACTATGGCAAAGAGTCAGGCCAGGGATGCCATCGAGGAATACTTCAAACACGAGAAGTGAACAAATACAAAACATGGTTCTTGTTCCTCACAAAAATACAAAAACTAAAAACAAAACAAAACAAAAAACCCGAAGACTGTTAAGAACACAGTACTCCAAGCACAGCAGAAAAGTCTGTTTCTGTGGGAGCCACTAATTCAAAAGCAATCTGTTAATTAACGTCAGACCGTTAGTTAAGACAGTTTCCATCCACAGGCAAAAACAGCTTGGCTTTCTGAATCAACCTGAAGGAGAGCTTGCTTTCTCTAAAAGAAGCTTGTATTCAGCTTTATCGTTAATGGAGCTTTCCCTACAGTGAGCCTAAATTGGTAAAGGCATATTGCACCTGAATAATGTCACATAAAATGCAAAACCAAACTTCCCTTGTCACCACTCCAGCTTCAATTATCCTAATTGTAAGATGCAGGGACAGAAAAAAAAAGGAAGACTTTTCCTCTCAAAATCAGAAACACTGTTGAGACTAAGGAAATGAAGTGGAAGCAGAAGATAACAGTGTTCTCTGCCATGGCCACCTCAACCCAGGTGATCACCACACCAGCCTCCCCAACAGACGCGCAGGCCGTGCACATCACGGCCTGGTCTACTGACCTCCACTTCGCTACCCTGGGCTTCAGGAACGTCAGTCCCAGCCGCTGCACGAGCTTCACCCCAAGTTTGCGGAGCAGGGTCTGGTTGCTGTCGGGGAGCCTGCAGCCCTCTAGGCACTCGAGAACGGTGGAAGCTGCAAACAACAGCATATTCGGCTCAGATTGGTGGGAAGGATCTTCTGTGATCTGCCAAACTGCACTCTCTGTTTGGCACCCACAACATTAAAAGTACAGATGACTCTACAGGTCCCCCAGATGCAGTGTGATGTCCAAATGCACAATGGACCCCAAAAAGAACCCCTCATCCCACGTCATTTACCAAGTGTAGGAGAGTTGAACCTGCTCAACTTTCTCAATGTGAAGCCACAAATGTGCAGGTTGGCAAAAAAAAAAAAGGAGCCCCCAAGAAAGAGAGAAGGCACAATAAGCAAGGAAGAGCTTATGGAAACATGGTGGATAAAGAAGACGCCACGGATTACAAGAAACTGCAAACAGGATGGGCCCGGCCCAATGCGGAGGGCTCTCCGCAAACAGGGAAATGGGTGGCCAGGCCCCTTTGCTGCCAAGGCTGTTGGTGGGGGGACAAGGTGGCATCATGGGGAAGCGAGGGCCAGGAGAGCACACAGGATGGCACTTCATATGAAAGACAAGGAGGGCAAGATTTCAAGACAAGTTGTCACAGCATCTGAATAATTTCCCCAAAGACCCAAACAACACGCAGTGACTGATCTGGTATGAGTGACAGTAACATAACACAGACCCAGCGTCTGTGTGTGCAAGTCCACTGAGGAGGAGGATATGTGAAGATGCTGAGCAACGATGCTCGTGTTTTCAGGTGTGACAGTAAGATCAACGTGTGTTTCCAAAACCATCCTACCTATCTTTTGGGGATACACACTAAAAAGGTAAGACGACAGTGTGTCTGGGCATGCTGAGTAGGACAAGACGCCCATGAATTAAAAGTGTGAAGCCTGTGACAGAAATGTGGGAGTTTGCTACACCGCTCTCTCTTCCTTTATACATGTTCGAAATTTCCCATAATGAAAATTTCTTTAAAAAAATAGGCTCTACTATTCAAAATTTATTCACACATCTTCTAAAATATGTAACTCCAAGAAATTTCTCTTGGTCCGGGTAGTAAACTTCTCTGCAGCAAGAATGAGGTTCTGTCTAAAATTAAGAGAATGAGGGGGCGCCTGGGTGGCTCAGTCGTTAAGCGTCTGCCTTCGGCCCAGGTCATGATCCCAGA